ACTTCTGTTTTGATTGTTGGTTATGGAAGGGATGATAACGACCGTGATCCGTCACGCAGAAGTGGTGGGATTTTAAAGAAAGGTGAGTGAGTGAGTGAGTGAGTGAGCGGGTTGATGGTGGACAGACGACATAGCTCCGTCTGTCTGTCTGACCTGAAGGTTATGTTAGGTATTTGTTGTTACTGTGTCTGATTTGTCTGTGACAGTTGACTTACAATTACTTGTTCTCACACTGTCACCTCCTCGTCCATTGATCGTGTGGAATGGAATGAGTGATCGCTTTGACGAGTGAGGAATGACGAGACATTTGTGCAAGCGATAGAATTGTGTTGTATACAAAGCAAGCCTTGATATTTTAGCAGCGGTCAGATGGATTTTGTTTCGATTGACAAATATAGTTCACATCAATTAGTGAGACTACATAGGCATTATTTATTCTCCACACCACTTAAACGTGAACTATTACTGTCATTTGATATTTTCGAGATTCACCTGTCTGTTTTCTTCTTTCTTTGTTTCACGCAGGTCGAGCGACTGTGATGGAATGCAAACATTCCACCACTGGAAATCCTATTTGTGTCCAAGCGGAGGTAGTGTTCGGACAAATAACCGCACCGGGTGACAGTGGCGGACCTCTCCTTCCATCCCCGCAAGGTCCAGTCCTTGGCGTCGTATCACATGGTGTCACACTCTCAAGCCGTTTGGATATTCTTGTTGAGTATGCTAGTGTGGCTAGAATGTTGAACTTTGTGAAATCCAACATTTGAATAGCATCAGCTCGTATCATTCCCATGTGTGTACATAATGTATTGATGAATCCACATGCAATTATGTTAAGACATTCTGAATAAATAAATCACCTAATGAACTACTCTGCTCAATCTGTGTTCTATGAGTTAATATGTGTGGGGTAATTTACGGGTGTTGGTCATTGGAGTGTTAGTGAAATTAGGAGTCAGTTATTCGCTCCTTATTTGATACTTGACTAGTATGTGTCTACATTGACTCATGTAACCAACAGATCACATTGAAATTCGAAGCTGGAATATGTCATTCATCAGGAGGTTGATTATGTCTCCATTTGATTCACATGACTGTGTTGTTGTTATTGTTTCCATACATTCTTTGAAATGTCGTGCTCAACATTCTTCCTTGAAACCTCACCAACTGTACTGACTGACTATAAGTGAATAGACTTCGTGTGGGACCTTCAGTGAATTATTTTCTCAGTAATTCATATTCACATATTTGCGCACTTGACGTCAGTGTTGAGTAAGCGTAGCTGTTTGTTTGCTTATCGGTCAGTTGGCAAATCGGTCGGTCGGTCGATCAGTCGGTTCACTGATGTTGATTGTATAAATACCTCAGGCTTAAATTTATTCAAGTCAGATCTTCAACACGTCCAATGCAACGATAACAGTTGCAGTTGCTTCCTGGATCTTAATAGAAGTAGCGGTTGATTAGTGGTATGGTGTACATGTCGGTCAATATATTTTGACATGATGGTTTGGTTCCTACGAATTCTTGATATAATTTGAGTGAGATATTTTCCGCGAGAGTAGCTGCGTGTGTGTTTGATTGTGTAGTTCGTTGTTTGAGTGGAATCAACTAGCTGAAGGCGCTCGGTAATCCATCCGCACCAGATCACGTGTGGGAACGCCGTGCTCAACATCTACTGCAGTCGCTAGTCAGACTAGATCAGACAATTGCGATATATTGGCAATCGTCAAATACAACTTCTGATCTCCTCGATTCTGTCTTTTGATTTCTCTTGATGTGTACGAGTTAAATTAGAAGGTGTTACTGGTAAAAGCGTTGTCAAACACTGAATAACTGTGTCATCTTCACTGTTCATCATTCAATGATGTTAGACCTAATAAACATTTAATATTAATGAAGCATATTGTTTGCATGATCTTACCACAGTAATCTGTTCATTTGTTCGAATATATGTGACAATAGTTACCAACTCTAACGTTATGTTGAAATGACTTATTGGTGATAGTTTAAGTCACGAGTCAATCTATGTAAGACCATCAATGAGTAACTGGAAGTGCTGAACTGCCATTTTCAGTGGTAGTCTAATTTAGGTCGGCTCCTGATTCCAATGAAATTGAACCATTTCCACAACGTCATGCTGAATACAAATGTCTTATAGACCGGTAGTATAAAATATGGAGTTTGGATAGAGTTTGCGTAACATTTTTCGTGAAGTTGCAATGTTATGTCACTGGATGATGAGGTTGTCTCAAAGAGTGTTTCGTTGAAATCGAATCTAAATATAAAACTGACAATTTTTACATCAAATTCATGTAGTTTGATTTAGATGGATTAGGAAAACGAACAATTAGCAGTCAATAAACTAATTTATAAAAGCAACAAAGTTGTTTATATTTACACCGGTAGTAATTCTGAAATACAAACCAACCAATGATTACTAAGTCTTATAAATAATGGGCTTAAATACCATCAATATTGATAGGGAAATTCAAGCATTGATGAGTAATTTTCAGTCTTTGTTGGATCCTACAAACTACATCGTTGGCGCTGCCGAGCAAGTTGAATCACTCAACAAACACCGAAGAACCAACCAGCTTGATGATTTACAGAGTGTATGACTTAGTTAATGGTAGTCAGGATGAAGGCAGCAAACAAACACGATACACAACAGTTGCGTTGGCTATCATGTAACATAGGCCTTTACACCACTACGTTAATTAGCGTGTACAGGCTGCCTCGGTCATTAGGTTTTCTCATCTGAGGTGACTTAAATGAGGCTCCTATGGCCTGATACGGCTCGAAGAACGACCTCTACAATCATATCAGATTTTGTGGAAGCCGACCTAGATCGGTAGGGCGACAGCAAAATGCACGAAACTCGAGGTTTAGTACACAGCGACCACGGTCATGCCAATGGTATATGCCTTGTAGGCAAATAACCTTCAGCGACCTACCAGCACAGAACAGAGCAACACAACTTCAACAACGATTTGCTTAAAAATTCGAAGACAGATATCGCATCAGCGGAGCACCAGATAATGACATAAACTATCAAGTGCCACTACAGCAACGTAAGAGGTCTTATGATTGAGCTGGAAGAAATCGGGAACATCTTCTTTTAGTTTGACCATCAGTTCGTAGTGCCGACTGAAATATGGCCATCGTGTGAAATCACAGATGGAAAATCGAGCTTGCCGGGTGTAATACTTTTACGATACGATAAGTTACACAAAAGGATAGATGGAAGGATAATATATCTTAACAGTCACTTCAAATCCTCTACATCAAACTGCACCGAATATATCAGAAGTTACGGGATCATTCTGATACTGCTTCAGTGAGAATATTGTACAACTATTAGTGTCCTAACTAACTTTTCTCTGTAAAATTAGACACATGTCTGTATACATAAATATGACGATATGTGGAATATCGGTACAGTTCGGTAGGGATCATTAGTGATTAAACACATGTCTGTGTACTCAATTATGAATCCGTTTGGTTGTGTTACAACCAGTAATATTAACTTGCTGATCAAACAGCACAACGTGTGGAGGGAAATCTGACATCGTCACTCAGTCGATGCCAGTTCAACTTCTCAATCATCACTCTACCTATATAACCTACAAACAATGCAACAAAACTTGTATTCATTTGTTTGTTCTATGGGATTGATTTGTCAGACATCTGTCGCAATATTCACTGTTGCTTTCTAACTTCATCAATATATGTCAAATGAATGAAAATTTGCGTAACATTGTAACTGAATGTGTGATTAGTATCCATATCGATCTGGTCACCAATGTGAGCACCATGTAGCACAGATAACATGTTGAGTAGATTTATTCATTAATGATTGACTAGTTGATAAGCAGTTTGATGAAATAATCAAATATTAAATGACATTACGAATTAAACAACTACAGAGTTACACTCGTATCAAATGCATTGCGACATGTAAATAACGGAATTCGGGTGCAAGACTACAAGCAATTCTAATCGTATTGCTATAACAGTTTGTTTTGTCTAAAGTGGTTGATAAAGTGTATTGCACAGTGAAGGATATCGGATGGCCTCAACTACTGTATAATCGGGGTTTTGTATATGACCGAATCTGCCGTTTGTTACTTCAGAACATTCAAATAACTTGCACTTTATTTAGTGAGTGATGGCTTCTTCATAAATAACAGTCTGTCAGTGGTTCATAAATATTTCGTCAAAATGGTCCTATTTATTAATGACATTTGAAGTTTCATCTGTAATTGCTACGTCGAGCGGTTTCACTGTGTGGCTTTTTAGTTGTTGTAGTTCAAGTTTATTTAATATAAAGAAGTACATTTGTCAATTCCTACTCATTTGTTCCGCCATCCGTCCGTGCAGCTGCTTAACAATAATACAAACACACTAGTTTATCTATATTCAATACTGTATTTAAATTATGATATGTCGGTGATTTTGTTCACTTAACATTTTGTTATTGTCATACCAGAGTTCACTTTAAAAGATACATCTTTAACTAGACATTTGCATAAAACTAATACCACTACCTTCTGAATATCACTTCATTTAATGACGAAGTACATTTGAACTCCGTATTTAACATTTTATCTTCCATTGAAATCTCATTCCGTTATAGATTTCTTTCCTTTCATTTTTCCTCAAGATATATATCAATAATATTGAATACTTGCGATGGTGTACCTTTTGTTTCGCAAAGGAATTCTCTTCTAAGTTCAAATGATGCATTTAGTATTCCAAAAATGTTTCATTTCTACCCAATAGTCACTTAAAATGTGTAATACTCACTTTCTAGTTAATTGAGGTGTGTCATGAATACTGGATCAAATCTGTCACAATAATCCATGAATCAAGTGAAGTGCAAATTGACTTCACTGTAATGCACTAACACACATGCACTCAAAGTTACGGAATATTTTCACATATAAATAGGTGAATATGTTGTAAGATTGTACATGGTTGAATGTAACGGTCATATGGTCATGCTGAACCGATGGGCGATTCTGATGGTAACGCTGTTTACCTACTACCTGACATGTCATTGTGTGTCAACCTGGCTGATACGCAGTGGTGAACCTGTCCAACAACGCACTGATTTCCCTTTCATTGCACTTTTGATGACACATGCATCCATGTGCACAGGCTCATTAGTTTCGACAAGGGCGGTACTCACGGCCGGTCATTGCGTTTGTGGAGAGACACCAATCGTTCGGGTAAGAGATCACACTGAAACTATTGTTGTTCAATGGAATCGATTAATTTCACAGTGTTTCTACAGTGGGTTTACATGGATCTAATGTTAACATACTTTGTCTTTTGCAGATTTCGTTCCTATCACTGAGCGAGTTTGAGCAGAGAACTATTAATCATCAACCTTCTGAAATTAAAGTTGCACCAGATTACTATCCTGTTTGTCAGTTGAAACGAGAAAATAAACGCATTACGAAGTCACTTAGTGGTTATGATATGGCAATTATAACACTCACTAATTCGGTCAACCTGGAGACTGGGATTAAAGTAGTCAGTCTGGCAACTGAATCGGATATACCTATACCAGAAAGTATTGTTTATATGGTAGGTTATGGACAGGATGTTAAGGATTCTGATCCGGCCGGTCGAAATGGTGGAATTTTAAAAAAAGGTGAGTTTCCAGTCATCGACCCGTTTACGTCTGTCTGTTCTGATGGTTTTATTAAAAGGTTTTACACAAGCGTTTTTCTATTCGCCTCTTTGGTTCATTCTCACCGTTTCTTATTAGCCTCTTGATCAGGTAAGATAGAATAAGCAAATATTATTTGGATGGAAATATAATCATATTTGTAAAATTCCTAAAGCACGTATGACTGAATGCAAACAGTCATTGTTCGTATTTATATGCAAAATTGAATGACTCAAACTATGTTAAGGGTAATTGTCACAGTCTATATATTGGACTTATAAGAATCCAAGTAAATTTTCGCACTTGAGATTGAATGGGAATGATCTATTTTTGATGTCGTTTAAACGTGAATTATTTTGTCTGATAATTTCGAAATCCATCTAACTGCTCTCTTTCTTCACATAGGTAGCTCTACTGTCATGGCATGCAGACACAAAACGTACGGAAATCCTATTTGTGTCAAACCTGGTCCAAACTCAAAGCAAATAGCTGGTCCAGGTGACAGTGGTGGACCTCTTCTTTTCTCTCCTCAAGGTCCAATTATCGGAGTGGCGTCAAGTGGCGTAGTCCTTTCGTCTCTTGCTGATCTATGCGTTGAGTATTCTAGTGTGGCAAGAATGCTTAAATTTATACTATTCAATATTTGAATAATGCTAGCTTGCATCATTCCTTCAATTGTACATTGAACATCGAGAAAATCTTATCGAGTTTTGTTAAGACTTAGAAAATAAACGATATAATGAATCAAAACATTTTGAGTGTTTAATTTCTTGTTTCTTGATAGGATAATAATAACGCTTTCTGTACTGTGTGGTTTACTAGCTTGTACCAAAGGTTAGGGTAGGAAAAAACTTGGTATTTTGCTCAGTGACTCAGCTAGCTCAGAAACAAGTTTCCAGCCTAGCGAACACAGAACAAAGTGTCAGTCGACCTAAATAGAGAAACGGAAATGACTCTGGAATCAATGGACAGTGCATGAGGGAAGGTTTCTGTTGTATTACATAGTCGAAGGGAAGAAATGGTGAATGTAATTATAGTGTACCAATGATTATGATAATAAAATGATGACACAGACTGGGAAAAAACCCACTGAGTATGCAGCAACATTCTTTTGAGTTATATGGCATAACTGTTAAAACTATTAATATTAGTGTACGATTTACAGTCAGTGCATCAGTTTACATGTATAATGCTTCGCATATCAATATTACCGCTTTGTTGGGAGGGTATATGATTATTCTTTCTAAGTTTGTACCATCAATTGGCTCAGCCACCGTTAAAGAAAAAGTCGAGAATATCATATCATCAGGTATGCCACTCAAAGGATTCAACAAGAAGAGAAAGGGAATGAACAAAAGTATCGCTGAATGATTCACTACGTTGATTTAATGTAAAGTACAAAGCAGTTGTTATCAAAAAATGAAGTGTTGTGAACCTCAATGTTTATTCATTCAGATCAAAATTGAAATTGTTAGACCCATTTGTCCATTGTTTTGGGTCGTCTTCTTAGTGCGACAATTCACGCGTATTGTGATGGAAGGATGCCAGAGAATACAAAGGTTAAAAGTATGATGTGATCTATGACTAACAGTTATTTTCAGACTTTTTGTAGACATCTTGTTCGACAAGCAGTTGTAGCTCATGATTATTGAATACATATCTTGGATTCTGTGAAATTGTTGATTTTTATTGGTCTCAGAAGTTTGAGAATTCGTTGCTAGAGCTTATTCTAAGGTTAAGTTCTGGTTTTGCGAGTAGAATTCATTGTTTAGACCATTGTCACTTTGACTAGTATGCTTCTGCGTAATCTGGAACAAACTATCAAATTTGGTTACAACGTTGCCTGGTCGTTTTTGAATTGGCTGGCATGACAACTTCGCTTGGTTCTGACAACTAACACAGACGTGTGTATGTTAGGTAGATGAGTGATACTGTTTTTATTAAAATATTATTTAACAGATGGAATTTAAAATCTAACAAATTCACTCGAGCTAGTCTTAATAGACTTGTATTTAGGTTTACTGAGTATATGCCTAAGAATATTAGTGGATATCCATCAAACTACCCTGGCTTAGTAAGGGCATCAGAAATGTTGTTTGACAAGAAAATATCAGGCCAAATGAGATTGATATTCTTCATTAACAGAGTAAGAGATTCGTCCACATTATTATTCAGTGTTGTTAATTTCTTTATGCTTCAACTAGTTATCCGGAAGTTGGGGATATGCTTGAAAAACGATTTAGAATACAACCGTCGATGGCTTTAAGTTGGAACTACATTCTAAATGATCTTCTATTGATGATCATCAATATTTGCTTATAAATGCCTTAAAACCTAATTCTCTTCAAACGAATCTTAGAAAAATTAGTGTTTATTCAATGATCTGATCAAACTCTTAATAACAACGTCATTTGTGAGAATAAGTGATCATAATAATAGAATTATACTATCCCTATGAATGTTTCCATAGATTAAGTTATGATCAAGGAATGGTATAGAAAAATGTGGTAGTGTTTGTTACAAGCAAGGGTAATAGCAAAATAACGTTTGTGGTAAAATCAAAATTGGTTTTGTTCCACGGTATTAAGGAATATGAAGAGATTAATGTACATCTATATCTGTTTCCATGGTTATCAGACTATGATTTCAAATAATCTATAATGTGGTTGTTAGTGATCATAACCTGGGTATTAAGTTTAATCATGAAATCCCGCGTTAATTATGATGTTGAAAAGACGCAACATGATAAGTGATCAAGTGATTTTCTCATATAGTTATTTACTAATTGGTGGTGATAAGGCACAACTGGCTGATATAAAATAATGATACTCCATGAAGAAGCGCTGCCCGCTACTTGCAAAATTGTATGTTATACACAATTTACTAGGTTATACAGTCTTTCACATTATTACATGTTTTTTTCAGGGTTTTTGTATCGACGGTGGTCACCTGGGTGATGTCAACTGTGCTGCGCTCAACAGGTTTATCGGATAATTAATGGGACTCAGGAGCTGAATAGGCTATCCGTACATGAATTTGACCAAATCTTGCTGTTTGATGAGTGTTATGATCATGTTCCTAGCAGTGTCTCAGTGCGCGTGATAACGAAATTGTAGGAAAACTACTGGGATGATCTGTACAGTTTTAGCGACTCAGAAAACTCGATGCTCTTAGTTAAGGTCAAAGACATGGTATTGGATCGTTGAGGCTCCAGAAGAACCAGTCATGAGGATTGGTAAGTGAATATGAGAGAACTGATGAGCACTAATGCGGTTAGATCAAACGTTGTTATAATGATTGGCCGTAGTTGCTATATAGAAAGAAAAATAGCTAGTAAATGATCAGACTTTAAGGTCACTTAAGCATTGAGAGCTGGCCTTGACGTGTTGAATGCTATGTTATGTGAATGTGACAGCTTACTAATTACTAGCTGCCAACATCATTAAATTAGCACTCTATTGATCACAAGAGTTAAGTGTAGACAGTTCTAGTCCGTAAAATGTTAAACAATCACTGGCGGTAAACAGATGTGGCGGGCAACTACTAACTGCACATCAGAAACCCAAATTTGTCTTAGCAAATAAAGTTTTGTCTACTGTTTACCAGGTAATGTGTGAAAAAATCAATCACAATTCATGATGTACTATGATTTAATTGTCGGATGGACTCTGACATATCGCTGATGTGTATTGTAAGGAGCGTCTTAAAAGATTGTTATTTAAGGTTCTGTGGGAGTTGGCCAAAGTGATTTCGCATTCATACTTGATAATGAAGTAACAACAAAATTTTTACCGCTGATAAACACGAAACCCAAGTACTTTAAATGTCCTAGTTACCTTATAAAACATTACGCACACATGTAGTGTGCATCCATTCGACTACACTCATGTAAGGACAAAATGAAAACCAACAAACAGTATAATTGGATGATAAATTTTAAATGCTTATGTTCAACATTGCTCAGCCTATACACACATCAGGCTTCTCTTCATAAATATTCAAAACTTCGTGCTCGAAATTGTTTCGCAGTGGTAAATAATCTCAAAAATCAGCAGATATGTACGTCTTCGACAGTTGACGATGACCGAATTAGTTTCAATTGACTCATCTATCAGAAGACGTTCAGTCACGCATCCGCACCACATTACGAGTGGGTACGCCGTGATTCACATCTCCTACAACCACCAATCAGCTTAGATTAATCACTTCTTGATACATCGATATTCCGCCAAATATATCTTCGAACCCCTTCGCTTCTGACCTCTGATTCCACTGGGTTGGCACGTTTTGATCATGAAAGTTGTTACTGGTCAAGGCGTTGTAAAACTCCGAATTCATGTGGAATTTTTAGATTCACCTGTTGGTAAAAGAAATCCAGTACATAGTAAGTGAAATAAATTCTCGGACTGAGTAAAGTGCACAAACATACACACTGTGGACACATTGATATTATTTGAGAAAACGAATCAATCATTAATTAATGGTGTGTTATACACTTACCTCACGAATGCGATGACTGAAGAGCTATATCATCTTATGCGTGACCAATATGATTTACTTATCTAGCCATATCAGTGTGTTTCACAGTATTCAAGATGATCATTCGACTTATGTATGCCATTGTCATTGTGAGGTGAGACCACTGTGTACGAAACACACACTTCCATCTATTGGTAAGACAAGGATTACTGGGTAAGTCAGTGTCGAATCCTCGTTATGACTATGTAGAATATATACCGAAACATTATAACAATGGAAGGTACTGCATTCCGTATGACATTGCTATCGTTTATTCTGTATAATTCCCATCGGTACATTCATGCGATATTTTCAAGTAAGTTTCAATGTTCATTTCATACAATCCAATAATTCCAGAGAGTGTTAGTCAATGAGATAAAGTCAACATATTAGACGGGACGAAACGTAATTCAGATAATCTCTGACATAAAGATAATTCACTGAGTGAGTGAGTGAGTGAGTAAGACGGTCAGCCGATCAGACACAGACAACGCTAGACCTCACATCAATTTGCATCATTTCAGGGTGGCACATCTGACATCAGCAAAACAACTGGAGGTACTGAGACGGCAGGTCAGTAATATCGAACGTACTGGAAAATCGAACTTATCGTTCAATTTCAAATAGGAAACTAAGTGTGATCAAAGACCGAGAGAGACATACCAATTGACACGTCATCGTGAACATCATATTCACCTTTATTCATTTCTGTTCAATTCAGTCTCGTTCTTACAGACTGACCATACTACACAATAATAGTCGCTAACTTATATGACTGGTCATCGTTTTGTAGTACAACTCAAATCACATCTTCTCTGTTTCATGTGATAATTGTGAGCATATTCTGGACTTCAGTCATTCATTCCGTTCATCAATGTGATTGGATTTTAGTGATCTTCCTAACACGAACCTCAATCCTCATGCGTTAATTAATATCGTAATTATTGGCAAGAAAATAAAGTAGACGAGGGTGACATTGAAGAAGAATCGATACAATTCAGTAAAGAAATTTCTCTTAATCTCAATCTTCATCCTTCTCACACTTGATTCCATCTCACAATCACTCTAAAATTCTCCATTATTAAACGACTTTCTTTGACACATGATATGATGTTACCATCCTTCTCTA